GTGTAAAATATTTTTATTTTTTATGTATATAGTTTATGTGAGCTGGTTAGCCTGCTTTGTAGCCTCTATAAGAGACCTCCTTTTCCGAATTCGTAACTTGTGTCTTCTCCCTCTTATTTTACTGTCCTTATTTTCCTAGCGTAGACATCCTGCATAATGTTCTATGCTCATTTCGTTCTAAGTAAGAAAGGCCCCCTCGCTCGTATTTGGCTTGCCGCTCATTGGGACAAAAAATTAACTAGAGCTCATGTCTTTGAGACAAACATAAGCTCCAGTGTCGAAGCGATTCTTGAGCCTAAATTGAAGATGGCCCTCAGGACGTCTGGCCATCTCCTATTGGGCGTAGTTCGTATATACTCAAGAAAAGCAAAGTATCTGCTTGCAGACTGCAATGAGGCATTTGTCAAAATAAAAATGGCTTTCAGACCAGGAGTCGTTGACCTGCCAGATGAGGCCAATCGGGAAGCTGCCATAGCTGCTATTACACTTCCAGAGAATATACATGAATTTGAGACCACAATAGCTGATTTAAAGTGATTTAGTTTTTGTTAATTTATTTCATAGTGAGATAAATATGAACACAATTGCAATCAACCAAAGTCGACCGGAGGATATCACGATGCGTGACGATTTTGGAGAAATTAATCTTGGACGGCAGGATGATGACTTTGGCGATTCTACATTTGATGATATATCCGGTCGTGATGTTATGCGTGACGACGATGGACACTTTAGTGATGCTATTTATGCGCGTTCAAGTGACAAAGCTCTATCTATAAGAAGATCTGGGGATACTCCTGATCCCGATGCTACTCTTGTGGAGGATTCGGAAAATAGGGATAGGCGGGACAGACGTCCGCGTACTGGCCGAGATATGCTTATTGATGATGATGATAATGATGATATCGGACCGACATTTTTCGGTAAAAAATGTTTTATCCACTTATCCGCCGCCGTGTGTTGTGTTTATTGGCTTTTTTATGTATAGGCGGAGGTGATGACGACTCCGATGGTGATTTTGGAGGGGCGATGAGCAGCGAATTGTTCTCTGATACC